TTTTACAATAAACGAATATTGAAATGCATTATTAAGCTCATTCACTTATATAATCGATTTATTGAGAATTCTTGCTGCTACTATGTAACCAATCACATTTCTCGAATTCCGGCATGGTGACAATACATAATAACATTCCAGTTATACAAACATGTGATATCTTCCTTTGTCATTCTCTCAACTGCAGTACCGGAGGGATCGCACATACGAAGACACCGGGAGCCAACCTGAAAAATGAATCGATGCCACGAATACGCACATACGAGGGAAAGAAAAGCGCATTTTTTTTTTTGGTGAATGAGCGAACGTCTGAAGGCATGTCCCAGGATCGAGCAGATCGAGGTTCCTACACAGTGTGAAAGCGCTGGTGCGAAATGGGCTGGCAGTAAATCAAAAAGGAAAAGAGTTTGTCAAAACGCCCCGACGTTGGAAGCTGTGCTTCACCCCCAATAATGTGTTCTGGCCTGTTAGGGCTCATCGAGAGATTTGAGGTGAGAGGAGATGAGACAGAGAGCATACAGACCAGAGCGCAGTTAGCAGGCTTCAGCGGACGGGGGAGATCGAAGCGGTTAAAACCGTCTTTCCAGGGCTCTAGCGCCCTTGTCGGACCATTTCCATGCACGGGTGTTCCACATCTGTCATTGTCCTCTAGGGATCTATCCTACAGGAATCGTTCACCCGACTTCAGCCTAGGTTGTGCCTCTGAAGGCAGTGAGCAGCGATAGCTGCTAAGGCAAGAAATATCAACCATCGCCTCAACAACATCGTGATTCACTGCTTATAAGTGGGGCATCTGTTTCTTTCTGTTGAAACCACTGCTGGTTCAAAAAAGTGAAATTTACATTCTAGTTGCCTACCTGGAGTTGAGTCGCATTCAAGTCGAGATCTTCACAACATTTGCGATTATCCCTATTCCTGGCTAGCGCAATCGAATGGATGACAAATACCGAATACTACATCGCTTCTCCTCACTAGGTGAGTCATCTAAAAGTAGTACATACTTCATCGACACAGTCAAGCATCTTCCTTAAATACACTCATTCATTTGCTTGTTTGCCATTGTTGTTCGGTGTCACCAAAGGCAGAATAAAAAATAAGAAATGAAAAGCATCAATAGAGCTAGTTGATGTATGTGTAAATTATATTATATTTTATTTATTTAATTTCAATGACATATGTAATATTTATTTCAATATATACTATATTTTTTATTTCATGGAGACCCTTAGTTTTCCCAGGCATTTACAATATATCGCCTAATGCCGCTGGTTTTCTTCGACGATCGTCTACAAGGTTGAAAGGACTTAAAATCAGGGACAGCCACGTGTAATAGCGAAATTTCGATAAAATTACTTGTGTACGGTAACGAGACGGCAGCAAAGCAAGCGGAAGCATTGTAAGCGCCCAATATGCCCCGGTATATATCAATTCGATCCTGAGAGCTTGCTTTATTCATGACCCGGAGTCGGGCTGAGTCAACTTGCTAAGAAGAGAGTGACCCCAGGTACACCTCCCAGCGCGCTGAAGGGTCCGACCTACAAATGACGCTCAATGGCGTCATGAAAATCGCATTACCTTCAAACTATTGTGATGTTGCTTCAGTGAATGATCCTCAAACTTTAAGGTGTACATGACTTAGTATGCATGGCTTCGCCGGGAATGAAATCACTTAGGTCGGACTTCAGACAATTCTAGCGAGCTCGCGTCGACTGCACGCACTACTATAATAATATCGAAGAATTATCAAGAGTTATCTTTTCGTCTAGAGGGCTCTTCACGTTTGATCGTTCTTGTAAATAACCTAAATGATTCATAAGATTTGAGCAAGGTATCAATGCCAAAACTCTTGCAAAGGCGAACCTACTCTTACTGACCGAGAGGATGGTATCACGCTCCATTGTGAACGCGCCGCGACCGCGATCGCAATTAGAACTTCCGCGATGGTCGCTCGCTAGTCCCACGAGCGTTGGGATCGGATCGTGCGGTGACCTCGCTGGAGCGTTTTCCCCCAAATTTTGGCCGCCGTTATGGTTGACCCTCAAAAATACTCCTTAATGCAGTTCTGAAGCTTGCAGTAGAGTTTTTCTTGCCTCACGCATATATTTTTGTCCGGAATCCTCGGCCAATATGCATCTGTTGGAATCTTACAGCTCCTTGTTTCGAGTTGTCATAGAAACGACGACCGCGACTGCTGCACGTGCATGAGAACACGTACGGCACTAGCGCATCTTTTGTCGTATACAAAAAACAGCCCACTACTGCGGGTCTTTTTATTTCAATGCTAAAAGATTAAGCAGTCTCTCCCAGACGCCACCGACGTGGTGACTTACATCCACAAAAATTAAACCATCTATTGCTGTTGACATGAAATACTCGTCATTACCTTGCCAAGCCTTGACGAGAGATTTCAGGCAGTTTCGACCCTCTCGTATGACTGACCTCAAAAATTATTACAACCCCTCTCAGGTGGATCTCGATACGATCCTCCACCACCGCACCCATAATTAAGACCCTTTGATCCTTTACCGTCGCCCTCACCACCCTGGCTGTTTCTACAGCTTTCGATTCAACGAGTAGTCTCACCATCTAACTCGGCCCACGTTTCCCCTCCGAAGCGGCCATCGACCGGGCAGTGGGGGCCTGCATAAACTGCAAATGCTCCAACATTATCTTTTCATTCCTTGTTTCCTGAAGTTCTCACCGAAATCGCCAAAAAATCTGTAATAACCGATCCCCTCTCCCGCAACCACGACCCCGCTCAACTCCCACAAATACTGCCGCTCCCTTCGAGACATTGGCCTTAGTGAGGTCCAAACACGATCTTCCCTTCCCAAAAATCGCAAATAATACGTTCTCCTCGCCTATCTCGGTCGGACGGACTGATCCTCTGATTCCAGGTTAATAGCCCGTCTAGTTCAGAGCGGGTTGTGGTCCTTTGCTTCCTGAAGGCGATTTATGACGGCTTTCTACAGTTGGGCGGAAGTGGTGTAGTGGCAAGTGGCACGCTTACCACGCGAGCGGTCCGGGGATCAAATCCTGGGTCGTGAGTCGCCCGGGCCAACCAAGCCTTCCATCCCTCCGGGGTCGGTTAATTGGTACCAGACTTGTCTGGGAGGATAAAAACACTGACTTGTACATCGGCTGGCCCCCGCAAGTCATTGTATAGGCCACATCGCATTCAAACGCCACTACGAATGTACAAATGGAAGTAGAATGCGTGCCGCATCCCAAAAAGGGATTGATCAACGGCAAATGCTTTATCCTTTTTATCCTTTATTCTAATCACAGTTCTTATAATAAATGAACTATAACTTGGGATTGTCCTACACCCAAAACACCACTCCGCAAGATGCGAACTATTGGAAATGCCTGGGTGGAAACATTTTGTATTAATCGGCAATTACATTGGTTCCGTTCAAAGTACCAATCTTATGTTCGATAACGTAACGGGAAACAACTTTCTTTTAAACTGACGAGGAAAATTTTGGAGAGTGTGAGATTTTACTATTCCAGGAGCCTCAATCCTTTCAGAGCATTAAATCGGTAAAAGAAAATGTGCGCTGTGAAATCAAAATTTTCTTTTTTATGCTTTGAAAACTATTATATTTTGTAAAGTAAAACACCGGCAATCGTTTCCGCGGAATTTCGCGAAAATGACGAAGAATATTTTATTTTTTTAATAATGGTAAATTTGGGAAATAAGATTTTTCACTATAATAGGTCATACTTCCTTCAAAGACGTCATGTCGTAACAGCGCACTGTACACTAGAAGATTCTCACCCCTGGAAGGTACTTTGCGGTGTCACTACCTGCTCTGGGATGCGCCATGCACTCTTTTGTAGTTGGAAAGGATTAGGAAATTTTGTAGCCCTCGAAAGTCTGTTCTCCACTGCTATGGTCCGCTCACGACCCCATCCCCCTTTCGTTGGCCAAATACAACCACTCTCGTTAAACTTGGTTCAACGGAAAGTTGATCGTGGTGCAACCATACCAAGAACAATGACATTGCCGCCTCAGTGCCTAAATGGGTTACGGTAAACCATCCTAACTTCCTGAACTTATAACTTTTGCCTGTCCCATCACTTCATCACTCAAGCTCTCGAGATTCTCCAATAGGAGGGCTTTCGATGAAGTATGTGGCTTCCTATACATAGAAATGTTTGAAAAAGTAGAGAATTGATCGTGTCCTCCCCCAAAATTCGCTAAAGCCCCCCCCCCCAACTAACTATGCGAGCAAGAAATGAAAAGGTACCATAAAAAATAGGAAAAATGCGTTCGGAATAGGGGGTGTTGAAGGTTGTAAGATGGCCTTGTAATCCTGTTTTCAGTTACAATTGCTCTTACTTTTGACTTGTTTTTGTTTGTTAACTGCTGTTTGGCCGCAGTTCGCCTTGCGAATGTTTCACAAGAATGCTGGGTTGTGAACAAAAGCGAGAGGTGCGGGTTCTAGTCCCGCCTGGGGCGAAAGTTTTGTTCACAACCCAGCATTCTTGTGAAACATTTGCTTTTACTTTGTTTACTCAGTTGAAAGCAGAGAAAATAAACGTAACATTTCCCTTGCTCGACTTTGATCAGCTTCGTAGTTGCACATGAAATGGCATTCCTCCGGTACGTACATATCACAGCATGATTTAAATAACTTATTGGCGATTGACTTGCTTGTACATGGTTGGTAGTTGTTCTCCTTTGTACCACAACTTGCCTAAACAACCTGAGTAACATAAGAAAATGAAACTTCGGACTTTCAAAAGAATCGAGGAGTCAACCAAGAACTAGAGAATCGGAGTCTGATACCTCACGTAAAGGCGAACGTCGTATGTCACGGTTACCAATTCGTGATCTTTTCCATGGACATCGATCAGGATTCCACGAGAAGCAATATTTCGAGGCGCATTTCTCTTGAAATTTGAATTACAATATTTTGAGAAAAAAGCAAGCATCTTCGATGTGGAACTTTCGCCTTTACTCGAAGCCGAGAGCTAGTCGTAATAAGCTCTCGTCAGCGGTTGATTGGAAGTAGTATAGTCGAGTTTATAAGGCCCATGAATTGCAGAGGCGGAAGTGGCGTAGTGGCAAGTGGCGCTACTCACCGCGCGCGCGGTCCAGGGATCGAATCTCTGGTAGTGCGTCGTTTGGGCCAACCAACTCTTCTGTTGGAAGTCGAACGCGTGGCGCATCCCAAAGCGAGATTGATCAACGTGAATGCTTTATCAATTTCTCTGGTATATAGAATTCGAACCTTTGGACCATATTCGTCCATTATTCCTTTCGATCCCACAAATCTGAACATTTAAAGGCACGCTCCGGGATTAGGCGCGCTCGCCTGTTCCATCCCAGGGGTAGTAGGCAGGCGGACAAGCGTTGATGTCGCGCCCCTTTTGCGGCTTGAAAGTGCGCGACAAAGGCGCAAGGAGCTCGTCCGACCCGCAACTCACACCTTCGTCCGCAAGCCCCACCCTCCGCTGTCGGTTGCCACGTGGCGCTGCTTGAAAAGCGCGGGCGCATTTGAGGCAGCGGTCCCATTGCGACCCAATGTCATTGGCACTGGAGCAACTAGTTAGGTTCGTGAAACTCGTCCAACGCGCCCCTTCTCTATCCCAAGGTGGAATGCGGCTGAAATAGGGGAGGTCTCTGTACGGGGCGTAATCGGTGGTTTCGTTTGCTTTCCTTCTCTTTTCCAGACCACCTCCCACCTCTAGCTTCATAACTGAACGCTTTTCCACACCTATTTTATCCCGAATCTTGCCTTTAAAGGCAGCGATTACGATAAAGAGGGAGCGCATCGGGGAAGCATATGCACCACACGAATCAGTTACTTGGCTGCCAGGGAAGCGAGGTGTAGCTTTCACGACGAAAGGTGCGCTGGTTGCTGAGCAGGACTTCGAAAGCACTCCGCCCCCAAAAGCGATCCGCCCACTAGTTTAGGTGATTTGGACGAGCTGCGTTGCCAGCAGCGGCACAACTGCAACTTTCTGAGCTGTTACCTGTTCATGAGTGAAAACCAACGGCCAAAAAGGGGTCCCGTTTTGCGTTTTCTTGACGGATTTCTCCGCTTTTTTCGCTACTGGCGTACCATTGAGCACCACCAGTCTCCTATAAACCCTTCTTGAATTTATCGTAATCACTGCCTTTAATCGAACTCCATTTTTTACTTGTTTTTTTTCACCCAGTTACACTAAAGGAATTATGCAAACTCGAACTTTTAACCCATGTAAGTTTCAGTACTCTTACTCTGTATGGGCTAATCGTTGCGTTGCTGGCATAGAGTTGGAAATAGTGATTAGTGGGACGCTTGCTGATCGAGGGTGCGTCTCCAACTGTCAAATGAGCTCTGTAAAAATAACTAAGGCGCACCTCGTTGTAATCCTTGACAACGCTTGCGTGACGATACCATCACTACCATAACCATGAGGCCAATAATAATTTCACGTAGCATCTGCCAAATGCTATAAAATGATATAATCAAGTCTAAGGAATACTCTCGAAGGGCTAACTAGGAGTGGTAAATGTGTCATCAAA